GACACCCCAGGAGCAACGAAGCGACGTTCACCAAGGACAACTCCAGACCCCAGGGGCGGCCGTCTGGGACAGAGAGACCGGGCAGCGGAGAGGATGCGTCTGCCCCACCTGCGTTTGGTCACGGATTCTGGCTGCTGTGCCCTTGTTTATCCAGTCCCATCTCTGTGTTTGTGAAAATAAAATCCCGATGGTCCAAGATTTCATTGGATTGTTTGCCAAACACATGGTGGCTTTCTCAGAATGCTGCGCATATAACTCTTTACGGCGGTTCTGATATACTTCGGAGAGGGGATTGCACCCCCCACCCCACCCCGCAAGGCGTTAACCGTAGCTTGCATATGTGTTAGGAACGCGTAGAGCCGCTGAGAAAATGATCGCGCTTTTTTGGTTTGGTACACGGACTGTGACTCAGATGTTTCGTCGGGTGAATTTGGAGCTTTCGATGCCTGCATCATCGCTGCTGTTTATTGTTTTCCTGGGCGGATGAAACACACTGACGCATAAAACTGTTTGCCTTTTCGGCCACGCGCGTTTCTCTCATTACGGAATTAAACAGGAATCACACTCTGGGGGAGGCGGATCGAAGATCTCAGTTTCTGTGAAGAAGACGCGCTTCGACAGACCCCACGATGCGTCTCCCGAAGCATCAGCCTGCGTCTGCCCTGTGAGCGCGGAGGCTCCGGCTGCCGAAAACCTTACACGCGTGTGCGTCACGCAGCCGTGGGTCCGGCGTACGGTTCCGTGACAGTCGCCAAGGATGCTCAGCTCTACCTGAATGTTCTACGCCATTTTCCCTTTCTCTCCCCTCTGTGGTGTATTTAGGCATTGTGTTTTTCTTTCCACTTTTTAAAGAATCTACGTTTCCTCTTGGGATAAGGGAAAGAAGGGGCCGCTGACGTGGCTCGCTTGGCTGTGTCACGGGAAGCCGGAAGCCCCGCCGTGTAGAAGCCACAGTCCCGGCTGCTTCTGCGGACACTCCCTGGCTCCCGAGGGCACAGGGACACTCATCCGAAGTGACAGGTGAGTCCTCACGATGCTGGAACGCCCCAGGCGCCCTGGAGCTCGGCCCTGTTAGAGGGTGAGCACGGGACACGGCTTCCTGTCGCTGCCAGGTCACGCCTGGCCTCGGCTGCTGGGGAATTATCCTCGCACGGCCGGGGGATTCTGCAGACGGACCTCACGCTGGCCGTGGTCCCTCCCAGCCCTGCCCGCTGGCTGGACTCACCTTGGAAGCCTGAGAATCATTAAAGCCGCCCCTGTCCCCCCGCCCCACACCTCCCCAGCCCTGAGGTCCTGATGCGTTTGGGGGAGCCTGTCATCCTCGGGGGACAAACGTGTGAATTTGGGACTCAGGCTCCGATTACATTCAGCGGCCCGACCTAGTGGCATCGAGGCTGGACAGCCGTGCAGAACCATCCGACCCTCGGACGTGCCTGAGCAGGATGTGGACAAGCCTTTCGCCCCTGAGCTGACACGCCGGGGTAGACGTGCTGCGGCTTTTCCGGCTCCGAGAAGCCACCCGTGTCCCTTGACTTTGCGGGCCCTCCCTCCTTCTTCAAAACACGTCCTTGTGGGCTGCGCGTCCGCCGGCCACACGGACGTCTCTTCTGGGGCCAAAGCTCCCTCGTGCAAGGACCCTCGTCGGCTCTTTGCGATCGCACGAAGAAATGCAGACTCATCTGCTCCTCCGAGTTCCGTCCGCTGACCTCCGCGCCTCGTCACGCAGCCTCCGGGGACGACGGCGTGGGCGTCTTTGCGGACCACGGCTCAGGCCAGCGCGTGGGGTGTGCACAGTCAGCGGAGGGGATCTGGAGCCTGGGGAAGAGGCCATGCCCGGAGCTTGGGGCCTCAGGAACCAAGTTGCTGCCACAGGCAGTGCAGGAAGATGCTGTCTCCTGAGAGGGCCGTTTCGCAGACGGGAGGGGTCCGTGCGGGGCGTCAGCGGGCACGTTTGGGGAACAGCAGCTGGAGCCCCAAGCAAGAGCGGGAGGCCTGCACACGCAAAGGGAACCCGCGCCTCGCGGGGGGCGGTGAGGACCCCGGACGCTGCTCACGCCGGACCAGACAGGGCCGTCCGTGTCCCCGGTCCCCGCAACGGCACGTGTGAGTGCGTTTCCTCCCTTTGCCAAGTCCCTCCGCTTGTCACGGGCGACCGTGACGGGCACGGCCCTGCTTGTGGGATGGCAGCGTGAACCTGGCCCGTGGGTGCTCTGGGGACTGAGCCTGGTACCAGGGACGCAGGCGGAAGCCAAGCAGGGCGAGAGCCGAGACAGGTGTTTCGGGGGGCTGGCAGAGGGAAGGGCAGGTGGATGAAAAGAAAGGATGAGCCTCCGGGACAGGCAGACGTTCTGTGGACTGGGGAGGCCATGCGACCTCTCTGCTGCGCTCACCCCGCCGTACCCCACGTGGCCTGTGGCTCTTAGCCCCACGGGCATCCTCTGCCCTGCCTGCCACAGGCCTTGGCACCTGCGACTCCCACCACCTGAGCTCCCCACCACCCCCTCTGAGACAGGCATGCCCCCTCCTTCTGCAGCTGCCTGCTCCGCCGTCCCTTCCCATCCTGGGGAGCCCCTCTGCCCCTGGCCCGGCCCCGGCAGCCCCCCTGCCATCCGTGTTAGCAGCAGGAAGCATCGAGGAGGTTTTAGCATCGGCAGCTTGAGCAGACGTGACCCGGGCGTGGGGCGCAGGCCACAGCGATGGAAGGAGGGGCCGTGTTTGCAGACAGGACGTAAAAGATCAAGAATTCGAAGGACTCTTGAAAAAATGTCCTGCAGTCAGCTGTGCCCCGGGTGGGGGGCGGGGGGAGGGTTCAGCGCCTGCTCCCCCGGGAAGCTGAGAACAAAGGTGCCTGTGTCAGCAGCGGAGTCTCCGGGCAGAGTCGCCAGGCGGCGGTGGGCGAGCGTGTTTGCGGCCGGGAGCTCGCATGACGGGCCCAGTGGAGGGACCCAGGCTCGCAGGAGACGCACGCCTTCTCCCCCCTTCCCTGCCATCCCGGGGGGCCGCCTGCGCTTCCCATGGCGTGGGCGGAGACACACTCCCCTTCGAAGGCGAGGTCCGGGTCTTTGGTGTGTTCAGGGAGCCGGGCGTTTGGCCCCGGACCCCGGGCCGGCTGAGGTTTGGAGTGATGGCTGCCGGCCAGCAATGAAACGAGGCTTTTGGGGAGCAGGGAGGCCTCATCCTGGGTCTCCCTCAGCGTCCCGGACCCGCCACATACGAGAAGGCGGAGCACAGGGCCCAACTCTCCCCGTCTGCTCGGGCTGGGCCTGTGCTCTGTGCTGCAAGGCGCCCATACCTGAAACCAGCACAGTGACAGCTTCGGCATCGATGGCCCACAGAGGTGGCTGCGGAGCCCGTCGCCGGCTTGCTGTCGGATTCGTCCACTTCCCAGCCCAGCCGGACGCGCCCCGCGTGCGCCGGTTGTGCAGGGCGTGAAGCGTCCGTTGCCAGCGGTGCGTCCCCTTGGCCGTGTTAGAAAGAGCCTGTCTTCGGGGCTCCCCCTGCGAGGCTGGGGGCCGCCAGGCGCCCCTCGGCCTAGGGGCTCATCACATCTCAGCTTCGGTTTGCTCCCGTCCACACCCCCGTGTGCTGCCGCTGGACCCATAAGAAGGTCCGTAGGCGGGTAGTGATCCGTTTGCCGATGTCACCGTGACCGTTTTCTGCGTAGCACGGTCGACCCGCAGGTGCCTCTTCCGCCCTTGTCCCGCCCGCCCCCGGGTCGTGTGTGTGTGTGTGTGTGTGTGTGTGTGTGTGTGTGTGTGTGTCTGCCTTCCCGCCCTCCGCTCCACCTCATTCCAAATCTCCCCTTGCACGAGCAGACAAGGGAACCGTCACGGTAAAGAGACAGCGGGGCGGACAGCTCGGAGGCGGGGCCCGTCATCTCGCCATCTACGAGGACGAAGTCTTCCTGCAGGAGGGCGACGCCTGATTCTGAAACAATCCGACGGCCAGGCGAGCCAGGACGGAGGCGCACATCCGTCCGGGGCTGTGTGGGCGACACAGGAAGCCACAGACGCGCCTTCGCTGGGGTACACAGCCACCGTTAGCAGGACGGTGCCGCCATCTGCTCGCTGGCTGACCGACGTTCTCAGAGCCCAACGTGGGGTCCCGTGTAACGCAGGGGCCCCAAACACAGGCGAGCAGCTCGGTGCTCAGACTCGGGGCTTCATCTGAAAAGGAGGCCGGGACGGAGGGGTGTCCGCCACCTGCTGCAAACTCAGGGTCTGCATGCCATGTCGCAGCTCCTGGCACTCCTGCCCCGTCTGGAGACGTCAAGGGGCCTGTGAACGAAAGTCACGGGTTCCGTACACGTGGGCGGACGAAGTGGACATCCGTGCGTTCCCTCGCCTGTCACTGAGACTTGGCAGACCCTTAGGAACACACCTGTCAAGCCACAGCGGTATCACCTGTGGGGATGTCCACCGATGAGAAGCACACGCGTCTGCATCGCGCAGGTATCTGAAAATATCCTTGACGATCGTCACCGTCGCTGAGAACTGACCCGGCCGTTACACCTGCGTCTGGACCCTTCAGTTTCATGGACACATAGGTGCGTGACGCCCAGTGGTTCCCCGACACCCATGATACGCGGCCAGGCTTCAGGAATGGGCTGTTCTGACCGTGTTGGGGAGCTCTGTGTCCACACCCAGCAAAGGAGCCCAGGTCGGCACACGCTCTTCGATGGAGCGGCAATTTGCGGTCAGCTGACCCAGTGTCTGCAGGCGCACGGGGTGAAGTGTACCTACACACATCTGTTTTTTTAGATCCGGGGGTGTTTATCCCATCAGGCGGTGAGGATGCTTTTCGTGAAAGCACACGCTGACATTTGAGCTCAAATTCCGGTCCGCCTTCCTGTTCCCCACGGTACGACAGTCTGAATTTTCTCTCTCATGCTTCCCGCGGGCGTGTCCTTGGATTCACAACAAACATATACCAACAGCTGCTGAAAAATGCACAAGGGTAAGGACTCTTTCCAGATGTCTTTGGAGGTCCGTGGACAAGCGATGGTGAAGGCTCTGGATCTCATGCAGCCGGTGAGCTTTGGGAAAAGGTGGGCCGGGGATATGAATACTTGGCGGATGGCTCTGCATGAAGAGCCGGGAGCCAGCACGAGCGGATGTGAGTATGCACGAGTGCCTCTGCGAGAGCGTGTGTGTGTGTGTGCATGTGCGTGCACATGTGTGGGCATGGACGCACGTGCATATGTGTGTGAGTATGCATGCATTGTGTGTGTGCATATGTGTGCACGCGTGTGGGCATGTGTGCAGTGGATATGTGTGAGGATGCATGCATTGTGTGTGCATATGTGTGCACACATGTGGGCGGGCATGCATGCACTGCATGAATGTGAGTATGCATGCATTGTGTGTCCTCATACGTGTGCATGTGTGTGGGCATGCATGTGGCGTGTATGTGTGAGGATGCATGCATTGCATGTGCATGTGCGTGCGTGTGGATGCACGTGCACATGCGTGCGGATCTGTGCTTCACATGTGCATGTGTGCACGTGTGTGGACATGCATGCAGTGCATGTGTGTGAGGATGCATGCCTCACGTGTGCGTGCGTGCATGTGTGTGGGCATGTGTGCAGTGGATATGTGTGACGATGCATGCATTGTGCGCACATATGTGTGCACACGTGTGGGCGGGCATGCATGTACTGCATGAATGTGTGCATACATGCATTGTATGTCCTCATATGTGTGCATGTGCGTGGGCATGCATGTGGCATGTATGTGTGAGGATGCATGCATCGCATGTGCATGTGTGTGCATGTGGATGCATGTGCACATGCGTGCAGATGCATGCCTCACGTGTGCATGTGTGCGCGTGTGTGGACATGCATGCAGTGCATATGTGTGAGGATGCACGCCTCGTGTGTGCACGTGTGTGCGTCTCTGAGTGTTTGATCATAGGGGACAGGGACTCTAACCAGAGACACAGTGACAGAAGGGAGGGCGGGGACAGAGTCGGAGAGGGTGGAGGCAGGAAGGAGACAGGAGAGAGAGAGCAGAGACGGGGTGGGGGGACGGGGGAGATGGGGGGCGGAATGAGCGTGTGCTGGGAAGCGTGAACGGCGGAAGCACCCTCTTCGGGGGCAGGAAGGGGGCTGCCGACGTCCCTCGCTCTCGTGAGAAGGCCATAAAGTGGGCGCTCTGTACGGCATTGCGCCTCACTGGAGGTGTCCCCTGGGGACCACACGTGTGACCTGGGCCACCGCCCTGGCCCCCTTGTGTCTGGAATCGCGTGGAGGGTCGGGAAGCGGGGGCGTGAAGCATGATGCTCGTCCCGCATCTGGGAAAGGCGTCGCAGACGCATCCTCTTCCGTGGGAAGGGGACGGGGGTGTCGTCACGAGGGGGCGTCCGGTCAAGGTCGCAGGCACGCGGGCCGGGACTGTCTCTGACTCGCGCTGGTGTGAGATGTGCGCGAAGGGTCAGTCTTCAGATCCGAAGGGCGTCTTGTGCGTCTGAGGACCCCAGGCTGACGGAGGAGACAGACTTCTCAGCCATCGCTGGCCACTCCGGGAGGACGGGCAGCAGAGGGTCAGTAAAGAGAGATCCAGCTGTCCCCACCGAGTGGCCGGCTGTGGCCGGACACACACCCTGCTTTGCTTTCCGTGGGTATTATCTGTGGCTCCGTGTCCTGTCTTTAAAAACATTCTTCTGCCGGTGGCTCCCTGGTTTTCCCAGTGCCGTTTATGGAAGAGGCTTTCCTTTCTCCACTGTACGTTTTTGGCTTTTTGGTGGAAAATTATTTGCCCGGATAAACACGGGTTCACGTCTGGACTCTCGATTCTGCTCCGCTGGTCCGTGCGTCTGCTTTGCTGCCGATACCGTGCTGTTCCGACGACTGTCGCTCTGTGGTATAATTCGAAGCCGGGCAGAGTGATGCCTCCAGCCTCGATCTGTTTTCTCGTGACGGCTTTGGCAATTCGGGGTCTTTTGTGCTTCCATAGGAATCCGGTGATTTTTTGTTCTATTTCTTTAAAAAAAACGCCGATGGGATTGTGATGGAGATCGCATTAAATCTGTATGACGCTTTAGGTAATAAGGTCATTTTAACCATGTTGAGCAGACTCGTGGTTCTTACAGGGTCGGTGGGGTGGGCGGGAGGCAGACGGGGTCAAGGGGGTGGCGACAGAAAGAAATCGAACTGCGGGACGCGAACCCACAAGGCGATGCGTATCCGCCTCACTGTTACAATGCACAGCTGACACGCCCCAGATCTCGTTAACCGATGTGACCATAAAACATAAATTCATTAATTCAGAAAGTGAACTAAATTAAGACCGCCGTTGCAATGGCAAATGGTGTTTAAAACACCAAGTCGCTCCCGGAGCTAAACATTTCATTTCCATCATCGTTGTTTTTTTTTTTAAACAAAACAAAACAAAACTACAGCACAGCAGAACTTTGGAGACTCCCCAGAGCCGCATTCTTTGTGGTTGGAGAAGCCAGCCCGGGCGGTCAGCACATCTCCATGGAGACGGAGCCAACAAAACAGACCGGGTGGGGGGGGAAGC